TTGGGAGAAGCCAGTGAGCCCAGCTCAACCCGAGGCCTCTGAGACCCCGAGTATCAATAAAGGGTCTCCTCTCCCAGATATGGCCTCTTTGCTGCTTTCCTTTGCCTACATATGCTGTCAAAACTGCCACTTCTTGGTGAATCTAATTGTAGAATTTGCAGAAGGGATTTACCCAGGAAGGTGCCAGCAGGGTACCCTCCCTCTGGCCTCCAGCATAAGTGACCCTCTCTCTCAGCAGGGCCTCTTGTCCACAGCTGCCCCTGCTCCCTACCACAGCCAACGTGCCAGGTCCCAGGGGTGAGCAGGACAAGGCATTCTGCTGGCCCCAGCCATGCTTTTCCTTCTCAAGTCTGGATCCGCATCTGAGAATCAAGGGACTTCAGTGAGTGAGCAGGAGCCCAGGTATAAACACAGTGCCTCATGCCTACCGGCTTCTGCCCCAGATGGATGCGGAGGACATAGGGGAGAGGGCACCAGTGAAACGGGTTTCATGGAGGTCACTGGGGACATGTGTGCACTGGGAATGAGACACTCAGTTGTGCCGAGAGGCCTGGATCCCTAGTCCTGTGTCCTGGGCTCCTGAGCTGTGTTCTCTCAGTGTGCATCGGTGTGCATTTAAGACTATGTGGGTGTCCCTATGGAGCTGAGAGAGTCACCCTGTTAGCTGAGCTGATTCTCACAATGGTTTGTTAAAAGCCAGGAGCTGGGGGTCTGGGGAAACCGCTTGGTGATGGTGCTCCAAGTATGAGGAGTAAAGCTAGGCCTGGATTCCAGACGACCTCGGGGTTCCCAGTGAGCAGACAGGGCTGAAGGGGAGCAGGGAGGAGGGCACTGCGGGAGGAGTGGAGAGTCATGCTGAGCATCCTAAATGACCGGGCCCTTTATCTGTCATCGGAAGGGTCATGTCATTACCCTTGGGCTTTTCAAGGTCATAAAGGGTGCTAGCAGCTGAGGATTTCAGAAACAAGCAGGACACAGGGGCTACCCGAGCAGCGCTGGCTCTCCCCACAGGTCAGTGGGGGTCTCTGTGGCACCAGCAGGCCAGTCAGCACTTACCTGTATACACAGGGCCACCTCCAGACATGCTCCTGTTGCTTCAGGAGCCCCCCTCCTTGAGATCCCATCATCCGGGTGGGTCACTCCTCCCTCCTGCCACTGTCTCCTACTAACCCCTCAATCAGGCCACATTCTTTAGGGACAAATTAGGCAACTGTCTCCAAAATCTCCTTCTGTCCCACCTGCAGGAAACTCGGGACTTGTCCATGAGGTTGCCTCCTCCACCTCCTACTCTCACCGTTTCATTAGCACCTCAGTGCTGAGACCATCACCTCCGTCCACTTCAGGGACATCCTGTCCTCACCACATTCTGCAGCTTGTCATCATTTAGGACATGTCCAACTTCTCCCCGCCTCCCCCTCACTCTCTCCTTACTATTGTCCACGTCCTTCCCCTTCTCATTCCACCTGCTCTCAAACTCAGGAACATCTGCTTCCCTTCTCTCCTCCTGCACCAGGACTGCTGGTCACTGCTAGGGACCACCATGCCAGGGCTCCCAGAGCTGGTGTCTGCCTTGCTCTCTGCTCAGCCATCCCTGTTCCTGTCCTGGGAACCAACCTCCTGATGATCCCAGTACTTGCAACCCCACCCCCACATCCCTTATTGTATCCTGACTCAATTCCATTTTTCTAATTCTTCCCTCTGCCTGAAATGTCTCTCAATGCCTGGCTTGCCTGGTTAATATCATGTATCTCCACAGACTAGAAATGGCACGTTCTCTTTAGGGACTCTCTTTGGAAGTGAACACACAATACTTCTCCACAAGGAAATGTCCTCTTCCTGTCACCCTAAGCCCACTTGTACTATGGGGACCACATGACGTCATTGTCCTCATATATCTGTATTCCAACGAGAATGGTGATGGAAAAGACTTTAGCATCACTGGTCTCTAGTACTTAGCAGTTCCAGCACACAGGACTTACTCTAAAACCATTTTTTGTTAAAATGTATTTGTTCAAATTCTGGCCCATCCCATCTACTGTTAACAGCAATTCTAAATGTAAACAGGCCTGTGGCCTCTAAGGTAGACCTACCCTCCCTTTACTTCTCCAGCCTTTGTTTAATCTCACAATGCTTCCCTCAATTGCCATGGCGCATGAAAAATCAGGATAAAGTGGGTAGACAAATCCTTGTTCATCTTCTGCTTTGCTTTAGGAATCCCATCCTGAAGAGCCTTGTGTATGATCCCCAGATGGGCTCCTGTTCTCAATACTTATGGTACCAGGTCAACCTTAGGACTCGTCACATTCCGCTAGAATTTTTTTTAGTACCCGTGTCAGCCCAGAGAGGTGCTCATCTTGAGGGCATGGATTGTGTGCCTGGTCCAAAGCTTATTCCCATTTGTCCTGAGATATTGTAGCTTGTGCCATGGTGCCTAGAAAAGTGTTAGTCTCTTCTCTCCAGGGTGGTTTGGAGTGCTGCAGAGGACTGATGTAAAGGGAGAAGCCAGGCCACATCCACAACTTGTTCAGCCTTGGGGCATGATAAAGAATGGCCGCTGGGCTCTGGTGAGACAGAAGAGCCTCAGGAAAAAGCCCAGCTGAACCAGAGCTCAGGGTCTGAGGGCCGAGAGAGGCTCTGACCCCAGAGGAGATTTGGAAGCTGCGCCTGTGGAGGAGATGAGTGTGGACCCCGGGCCCTGGGACATTCCCTGTCCCCTCTTCAGTGCTGTGGGCCAACAGAGGAGATGCTCAGAATGCTGTTCCGTGCGCGTGGAGCAGGGTGTGGAGTTTCTGTCCAGGTGCAGGTGGCAGTCAGTGTTCAGGAACTGCTTGCTGCTACTTAAACCCTACAGCATTCTGCAACATGGACGCCAGGGGGCGCTTAAGGCCATGCTTTGCCCATGTGCTGGTGGAAGATGAAGTCAAACAAAAATTGGGTTCCCAGGGGCAGCCCTGACATAAAGGGTCCCTGCCCCAATGCTCGTCAGTCAATTTCCCCCAAAGTCCCATTGCCCTGGGCCTCAAGAAGGTCACGTCACATTCTTAGAGCAGATGGCTCCTGAGAGACTAATTATTCCCAACCTATGACTCATAGTAACACGACGCAGGCCCAGAAGAAACAGACTTGCTCAAGGCTCTGAAGGATTGTAGAGTTAAATTTTATAGAATCTAAATTAAATCTGTATTTAAGAGTATCTCATTACATTTTCTTTAAAATAGACTGCAGGTTACTGAATAGTATGAGAAAAATAGAGTAACATTGTAAGCATATATAAAATAAACACAAGTATTTTCAAACTGTATATAAAGAAGGTGTGGGAACCCTCTCTGTTTTGGCAGCTGACACACACTGTGGCCCAGGACACACAGGCCTCGCAGGAGCTGAGGTGAGTGGCTCACAAGCTGCAGGTGGGTCCACATCTGGAAGTTCAGTGACAGCTGTGCCTGGAGCCTGCTCTGCTCTGGAGAGGGCACCAGAGTTGGTGTTGCCTCTTCAGGTGTTTCTTGATCTTGCTCTGGAGCTGCTTCTGTAGATCCAGGAAGAGACAATGTTACACCATGACTGCCTTTTGTGTGCCTTCCAAGGAAGGGACCTCCCATCTCCATCACTGAAGCCCCATTTAAAGCCCCCACCCCAGGAAGTCCTCCAGACCGCAGACCATGGGCACAGACCTGAGCGGCTCTGTGCTCCGGCCTAAGCCCAGCCTCTGGGAGCTCTTCTCTGTGTGGTCCAGCCACATCCCCTCTCCACCCACCCACACCACCCAATCCACATGCACAGCTCTCTGACTCCCTCCCTTTTTTCTAGGAGAAGCCCTCAGACCTCTGCCCTCTTGCAGAAATCCCACCATTTGTGGGATCCAGGGTGTTGCCAGCTTCTCCAAGTCACAGTCCCCATACTCCCCTTAAGGCTCTGATCCAAAGCCCATTCACTTTGTCTGCTGGTCCAGAGATCCACTTTCTGCTTCACAATACATGTAGATCAGCAATACTTTGAGGAAGAAGTCATACCGACTGTCCTGTGGCTGCTCCTGCCTGTGCAGCCCAGTGTGACTGAATCACTCCTGACTAGAAGGAAGCGCTGGAGTGCAGTCCTGGGGGCAGGGCCTTTGCTGAATGAATGAGCCCAAACCACCCCATCTCAGATAGCTG